CTATGAGGCGGTTGCGTTTAAGGTCTATCAGCAAATCGTAATGCTTAATAAAGTCGCACCCAATAATCGGTGACGTCACGTCGGCGACTACAAAGGACCAAAAAAAAATCACGACGTAGTCCAAGATCAACTTTAACGCGTTTTTCGCCAATAACCTTTATCGGCGACCCGTTTGCAGCGTACAAAACCATGGCCGTGGGACGAACGTCGAGGGATTTCGATGTTAGTGGCAGAACGGAAACATCGGCGCCACTGTCTACAAGAAAATATTTTTTCGAAAAGTTGTCTCTTACTTGGAGGCGAAATATGTGGCAGTTGCTGGTGGTTGATTCGCCGGAAACTACCAGCTGCCCAGGGAGTCAAAGATGTTGCTGGGTTGAGGTTGATGTGCCAGTAGACAAGGCGTTAACTTTGTGCTGCTTATGCCGACAAGGGCTGCGGCACTTTTGAGCATTTTGTCCATGTTTTTTATGATACCAGCACTCTGATCCTGAGGTGTTGTAAAGGTAAGTTGCGCGGTTTCTTGATCGGCTGCGTCGTGGTGTGGTTTTTCGTGAGTGCGAATTGGAACGAGTTGAAAAACGTTCAAATTTTTTTCCTAATTCGACGACGGCTGCACGAAGTTCGTTTATTTCGCTTGATGCCCTAGACTCCACGCTTCTGCCACGCTCTTGCCCTGTCGTGTCAATTCTGTGAGAAATTGATGATCTTGTCGTAGAGCCGTACGGTGAAAGTCGTGTTATATCGGCGAAATCTTTTAAAATGTCAGCAAACGGATCGGCAGCGTTAAAAGTTTTTATGGCAGCTGTTTCACAAGTTGTAAGAGATGTGAGCCGAGAAACTACGCCGGTAATGTTGTCTATGAGGCGGTTGCGTTTAAGGTCTATCAGCAAATCGTAATGCTTAATAAAGTCGCACCCAATAATCGGTGACGTCACGTCGGCGACTACAAAGGACCAAAAAAAATCACGACGTAGTCCAAGATCAACTTTAACGCGTTTTTCGCCAATAACCTTTATCGGCGACCCGTTTGCAGCGTACAAAACCATGGCCGTGGGACGAACGTCGAGGGATTTCGATGTTAGTGGCAGAACGGAAACATCGGCGCCACTGTCTACAAGAAAATATTTTTTCGAAAAGTTGTCTCTTACTTGGAGGCGAAATATGTGGCAGTTGCTGGTGGTTGATTCGCCGGAAACTACCAGCTGCCCAGGGAGTCAAAGATGTTGCTGGGTTGAGGTTGATGTGCCAGTAGACAAGGCGTTAACTTTATGCTGCTTATGCCGACAAGGGCTGCGGCACTTTTGAGCATTTTGTCCATGTTTTTTATGATACCAGCACTCTGATCCTGAGGTGTTGTAAAGGTAAGTTGCGCGGTTTCTTGATCGGCTGCGTCGTGTTGTGGTTTTTCGTGAGTGCGAATTGGAACGAGTTGAAAAACGTTCAAATTTTTTTCCTAATTCGACGACGGCTGCACGAAGTTCGTTTATTTCGCTTGATGCCCTAGACTCCACGCTTCCAATTTGATTTGATGCCATTGCGTCAACTATAGCATCGGCAACTTTAGTAAACTCAGCTGGCGTACCAGCTGAAGCTGCCACGACAGGTTGGGCGAATTCTGGTAAACGCTTAGTCCGTAGCCCTTTTAGTGCCGCCTCACCCAAAGTTGTACCAGCTACTCGCTTCATCTCAAAGTACAGTTCTGATGGCTTTTTGTCGCCAAGGGGAAGCTCGGAAAGCAGGCGGTTCAGGCGGCGCTGTTCGCTGTCGGCAAAGTGATTAATTATTCTTTCTTTAATGTAGTCGTACCTGTTGACAAGCGGCAAAGAAGCGATTACATCAGCAAGCTGAGCTATAACATTTGGGTCGAGGGCTGCTAAGATGGTCGCAGTCTTCTGCTTATCTGCTGTTATGCCCGATGCCGTGAACCAAAAATCCATGGAAATAAACCATGCGTCGATGTTAGCACTTGACATAGGTGGTACAGGCAATCGTGCATAGATTACGGAGACGTTTCTTTGCGGTGTGGTAGAAGCATCGATTGATTGTCCAGGATTTTCGCTCGAGAGGCCACTGTCGTTGCGGCATCTACCTCAGCCATCGCAAAAAAAATTAGCACGTTTCTTTAAAATACAAAATGGCGGTTAAGTACGCCGAGTACTGTTGCACCCGAAAAAAAAACTTGATTTACAACAGTTCGTTCTACCCAATGTTTGGGAATTTTCCGTCGGGGTCAACAATTTGGGATGTATGAGTATCCCAATAAAAGTCGCAACACGACTTTGTTTATTTAAATATTTATTATTTTAAAATATTCAAATTGAAAATTAAGCTTGTACCTTCAAGCAGAAGACGAAATAAAAAAAGAATGAATTCAAAAATGGTTTTTCTTAACTAGTGTTACATGGTAATGATAATTTGTAAAAGTAATCGAATCGGTACTTAGTGTAAAACAGAGTTGTTCAAGGAACAGGGCGCCACATATATATATATATATATATATATGTCCTTTATTTACAACTGCAATTAATTTACATAACATTTGAAGCACTTGTAAACTGTTCAAAGTGAATATAGGGCATTGACAAGCTCTCTCCATCTAACTCTATTGTTGGCCAATGTTTTTGCGTGGTTCCAGGGTATTTGGGTTGCTTCTAGTTCTCGTTTAGTACTGCGTATCCAGGTGTTTCTTGGCCGGCCTCTTCTACGCTGCCCCTGGGGGTTCCAGTCTAGGACCGATCTAGCTATATCATCATGTGGTCGTCGTAAGATGTGGCCTAACCAGATCCATTTCCTTCTACGGATTTCCACTTCGATTGGACTAGTGTTTGTCCGATGTAGCAGTACCTCATTTGAAATTCGATTTGGCCAGAAGATTCCCAGTAGTTGGCGTAGGCAGCGGTTAATAAAAACTTGGATCCTGCGAGTAGTAGCCTGGGTCAAACTCCAGGTTGTGCAACCATATAGTAAAATAGATTTGACGCTACAGTTGAAGATTCGTAACTTCGTTTTACGCGAGATATTGTTGCATCTCCAAATTTTACCTAGCGTTAGAAAGGCACTTCTAGCCTTGTTGATGCGATCGCGTATATCCGTCTCCGAGCCCCCGTCTTTCGTTATCCTACTTCCGAGGTAGGAAAAGCTGTCGACGTCTGCAATGATCTGCCCGTCTATAGTAATATCATATATATATGATATTTTTCTTGTAACTCACTAGGCAAAATGTAAAAAGTCACGGGTCCAAAAAGTTAATTTTCACTTGTCACTAAAAATAATATGATTATTATTTAAAAGTGAAGGTCTATATTTACTATTATGTAAAAAAGAGGGATTGAAATAGGTCCATAGGCCCATACTTAAACGTATATATTTCATTGAATTATAAAGTTATCGGGAAAAAATTCGACTTGAATATATTTTCTGTACATACAAATCATTTGATATTTTTTTCCGGATCGGTCCATTATTGGTCATAGCACTTTCAAAAATCACTTAAATGCACATATTTCATTAATTAGTAGAGCTATTGGGGTAAAATTCGACATAAATTTGTTTGTGTGCACATTTAATTATAATATTATATACATAATTGATCACAACTCACAAAAAAGAACCATTTCCGAAAATTACTTAAACGCACATTGACGGATAAAATTCGACATGAGTGTATAGATAAATCATTCTGCTAAAATGTTTTCGAACTGAACTATTATAAGTCATAGCTCCGGTATAAGGTCATCGTTTCAAAATCAGTTAAACGAATTTAGTTCATTAAAAATATTTGTCTGAGTAAAACTCGAGAGGAATATCGTTTGTTATTATACAAATCATTATCTTAATTTGTTGTGTTCATGGTACACATCCGAACGACTCAATATAAAATTTTCTAGATCCTTATACAAATCATTATCTTAATTTTTTGTGTACATGGTACACATCCGAACGACTTAATATAAATTTTTCTGGAGCCTCACTACGGAAACAAAACTTTTGTCTAGTTATCTAAAAAATAGCTGGCACAGCCGAATATAGCACTCTAACTTGTTTTTCAGAAAACTAGAGGATATTTAAAAAAATACGACTCTCAGTAGGCCCACCACATTTAAAAAACAAAAAATTTAACTGGAAAATTTAAGCTCATTCAGATTTTGGCGATTTTTTAAAACAATTAATACCTGATGTGATCAATTTTGGTAAATAAAAACAAGTCAATGGTAAAAAATTAATAAAAACTGTAAAAAAGGAAGTTCCTTTCAAATAAAACAAAAAATGACGTCTTAAAAACCGTTACATGTAACTTGAAGCGTAGGATGCGAAGAAGGTATAAATGCCTGCTAGAATAACAAAATGACTCGTTTCTATACCCAGCAAAAAAGAACTTCCAAAGAAGCGAAAAATATGTAAAATTTACTCTATGGAAGTACTGAAAAATCTGCAGAAGTGATGATTTTAACACAGGCTTATCATAGGAGGTATGTCCTCTTTATTTGCTTCCAAATTCACTACTTCTGAAGTCCTTCTCAAGAAGTAATTTTTAAGCTATATTTTTGGAACTGAAATTATAGTATTAGAGAATACAACTAATTTGACTTAAATAATTAAACATTAATAAGGGAAATATTTTATATTTAATACAAAAGCCCAAAAAATAAATTTTTTTAACTCATAAAAAATGTTAGAATAAAAAGCATTGAAAAAATATAATTATTTTCGCTTCTTCGGAAGTAATTAAACATCACTTCCGCAGAAGGTAAAAAATTCACTTAGTGCTAAGTACTTTGGAAGTGGTGATAAATGTTATTCTTTTGGAAGTACTTCGTTTTATTTTTGCAGAGTAGTTCTTTGTCCACCGTTTAATTTTTAAGATACAAATCGTTCAAAAAATGCAAATCCTAATTTCCGTTTAGCTTTAAATTGTTAGTTTTTTCATTAATGTGAAAAATTTCTTTTTTTGTTTTAAACACTATATCTTATATAAATATTTAATGAAATTACCTTAGTGCTACTATTTTAGATGCAAATCATCTCTTTGAGGAAATTGGGCTCATACAAGCAGTAATTGATAAATCACGATTAAATGATTGCAGTGACTTTGAAGATGTAGTGACGGAAGATGCAATTATGTGTGGAGCGGAAGAAGTTGAAATTATGGACAAAGAAAATGGTGTTGTCAATGTAAGTAACACAATAAAATAAAATTATTCATTATTTTTTTACATCCTACAACACTATTGTTGCAAGCTACTTTTTGTACCAACATCAAAAAAGATTGCGGTACATATAATGTTGTTAAAAGCCAAAGTCGTACAGTAGTTATTTTATACATGGTCAATTTCATGTAATTTTAAGTTAATTAGTTAGTTTTCTAGTATCTCAAATCTTTATTGAAAATGAATAACACATTCAAAAAAATCAAATATAATGACAAGTACTTAAGGTTTATTTAAAAAAAATGTGGGTAAAAACCAAACTCGTGCAGAACAGAGATACAAGCCGAGACGGCTCAAAACGACGGCGGCTGGCCGCCGGTAATATTTTGCAAGCCGCGCCGCCGCCGATTTCTTTCGGCTCAAAAGCTAAGCCGGCTTAAACGTAGCCGCTGATAAATATTGGAATCGCACATGTATTTCAGAAAATAATTTCACCAATTTGAATAGAGTTGCCACTATTTTAAATTCTTATGGTAAATTGAAAAAAGTTGCCACACAATATTGTGCTAATATTAAAAGAGTGAAAACTACTATAAATGTCCATTTTCTTCAGAAAAAAACCTTATATAGAGATATGTTTCTATATAACGGACTATTATACAGAGATTTTTCAATATAATAAACGCTTATAAGCTCAATTTCTGAAGAAAAACTTAAATTGAGCCGACAATTTAGCCGCCGCCGATATTTTCTATAATAAGCCGCCGCCGCCGACCTAAAATGGTTGCGCCGCCGCCGCCGATCATTTTGCATCGGCTTGTATCTCTGGTGCAGAAGTAATTTAATATTCTAATTCAACAGAGAATTAATTTAACTAAATCGAAAGCTTTAATAATTAATTCTAGGAATAAAATCAAAGAGAATGAGTTTGAAGAATTGTTAAATCTTTAAAATATAACTCAATTTCAAAAAATAATTATGGAATGAATTCTTTTAGAGATTTGCTTAAAGTAAACATAAACAAATGCTTTGATGACTATCCTTAAACTATTACACAAGCATTCCACAAAGGTGAGAAAAGGTGGGTTCAAATGTATCACTTTTCTCAGCAGGAACTCGTATTAAATCTAGTTTTGACGAAATATAATGGTTTTTTACTTAAAGATTGAGGCAACTCCATTTTCAATGGTTTTAATGTATTCAGCGTTGCCACTGACCAAACTTTAATCCTACCAAACTTTTGTCAAAAATCTACCAAAATCGTTTGAAACCTACCAATTTTTTGAAATCATATAATTATTTTTTGAGAAAAGTATGACTTTTTTATTAAACGATTTCGTCCCCTAAAATCAAATACACTACAACACTATTTATTTATTTTTTGAGTTCCTTTTTTTATTGTGCATTGGATACGAATTTTGTAAAACAGGGATGTTGCGAATGCCAGTTTAGCGAAAGCGAATAATAAATTTAATTTTTTGCAAAAGCGTATGCAAATGGTATAATTCAAGTTAATTTGAAAAGAAAAAAATTATGATATTACATATTTTGATGAAAAATTGTGTTGTAACAAAATTTTTACTTAACAATACCTTATTAATACAAATAGAGCTCAATTAAATTTTTGTTTAGTTTTCTAAGATTCGATAAAATTTAGGAAAATCATACGAATCATTCATACGATGGTTATGCAGCAATTGTGAAGAAATTTAGATTTAAGTATCGTCAATATCAATCAATCAATATCAATGTTAATCAATAAAATGCCCTCAAAATAACACAAATATGAATGTTCCTATAAAATGCTAATACACTTAAACCTCGTTTTATGCGAATTTATTTTATGTGAATTTGAATTACTGCGGTTTCAACATTCTAAAATTTTTCTTTGCAAAAATGATTTTGAGGAAAATTTTGGTCCACATCAAAAAAAAAAGTGATCAACAAAGTACAACTACTGATTTTTTACCAATTCCGGTTCCGATATATAAAGTATTGTTCAAATCCTTTGTACATGAAGAAATATTAAGTTTTATTTTTAAGGAATGTTGTATATTTTCTTCATTATTTGGAATTGGTATTATTTTGTTATTTGTTTCCTTTATTTTTCTTTATTATTTATGGTTTCAGTAAAGAATTAAATTTTTTTGATTTTTTATATGCGTTTTTGTTTGACTTTTAAGGGAAAATGTGCGCTTTTTTATCTAAAACCCAATTAGTGGATTTTGTATGGAGCTAGTGTATCGTTTTGTGCAAATTTGAATTATGTGCTTTTTTGCGAAACGAATTAATCGCATAAAACGAGGTTTGAGTGTATATACCTACATATGTGTATGTATATCATATACCGGCGTATAGAGAGGCAGATAAAAAAATCACCACTACACACACACTATTGGCATTTTTTCAATGAAATTGCACTGAAAAAAATATTTGGTTATTTTTAATTTTGAAGATTAAATTGCATTACTGTAAAACGCGAATATTTATAAACAAAATGTAATCAATGTACATAAGAATGATAATTTCTTCACATAGAAACAACATTTCAAATTAAAATGTACAAAAAAAATTATGAAACAAGATGAACTTATTTACTTTCATTATTATGCATTCTAGAAAATATTTAGGGTGTACGTTGTTTTTGTAAATTATGCTCTTGTTTTTACAAGTTGTGTTTTGTTTTTTCAAGTTGTGTTTGCAATTTCTTTAACAAAGCGACACCAACCTGCTGTCAAGCAACTAAATAAAATATTTGTATTTTTGATGCTCTTGTTTAGAAGTTCGTCTGCGATCGTGTTGTGTACATGTAATTTGCCGAAAATCTTCGTTGTCAGAACAATACTAGATCCGACGTCTGATGTATATAGTTAGATACAAAGTATATTAATAAAGTAGCATCACTTGAACAGCTGACTATTTTTTTTTACTAGATTAATGAAGAAGTTGTCAAAATTTATTTTGAAAATTATCAACATTGTTTACGTCGCCATTTTCAAGTTGTTTTTAGCTATTTGTTAAAAGTTGAAAAAGTGAACGAAAAGAGGTTTAAAAGTGTTATAATATATAAAAATATAACTATATCCTTAATATTTTAAACTTAAAAGTATTTTTTTTATTGTTGTTGAAAGAAATTTTTGTTAAATTTTATAAACAAAAACCATATGATTTTGACACAATCTTAAATTATTTCAAAAACAAAATACATGTTTGTAGATGTTGTACGCTCTTCAAATTACCCTCCCTCTTCAAATTACAGACAACATTTAACCTTAGCCCCCTTATAAGTCGCCTTCACAAAATTACTTTAACTTCCATAATTTATTTGTAATATTAGGTAGAATCGAGAAGAAATTTAAGATATGCTGTAATGAGTAAAAATCAATATAAATTATTTGTTTTAAGAAATTAATGATTCTAGCTGTATATTTCAATCCACAATTCATCTGATAGCCCAATTAACTAAAGAACGATATGATAGCGAAAACGGTATTGTCTTGTAAGGGATTATGATATCATATTTTATTTGTTTCCAAGAAAAAAATAAAGAAAATACAATCGTTTGAAAAAAACTTCAAACATAAAAATAATATACATAAATTAAAAGTTTTCAAACAACAAACAAAAGCTGAGAAGAAAATTTAAATAAAGTCAAATAAATAATGAATAAATACTCGAAAATCTTCTTTTAGGCTTATGGTAAGTTTTCTTTATACATATATAATCTTTAAAATGTCAGCTATTGCAATAAAATAAGAATACAAAATATGATTTATGTATAACAAAATATGTATACATGTTAAGTGCACTGTTTCACATTTTTCTCTTATCATTATGCTTCCTTTTTTAGATTTTTACCTTATATTACCGTAATACTTAGTAAAAAAAAACAAATAATTTTATGTACCAAATAGCTTTTAGAAAAAAAGGAAAGGCGATTTTACTATCGTTATTTTAGGAAATTATGATAGAAATTATGAAATCATAATTAACACTTCAGATATTTTTTATCACCTAAGTGCAGAGACTGAAAATAACTCGGCCACATAACCAAAGTGATTGAATTGTGATTTATTTTTGTTTTCTTAAATAAATCACTCAGAATAACAGTTATAAAATAATTTTTATTTAAATGGTTTTGTATAACCTTTACTACTTTAGTTTTGTTACTTATGTTTTTGGCTGAGCACTTAGTTTTTGTATTTCCTTTTTTCTCTTGCTTATATGAGAGTGGGAGAGTATATTGTTGTTGTTTGCTATGATTTCTGAAGATAGTTTGTGTGTATGTGTGTCCTAATCCTGTATTTACATTTGCGATTTATTGTTTTGCTTTTGAAAATAAAAATCATAAGCAGACCTTTTCAAAAACGTTTACAAAATAAAAATCAATTGTAGCGAGTTATTTTGTTTTTCTCTCAACCACTTATCAAAAAAATCTAACATAAAGGTTTCTCTCAGGGATAAACAGCAAAAACACTATTATAAATGGTGATCACAACAATTAACCTTATAAAAACAAAGAGGACCCGTTATTTTCAGTCTCTGCCTAAGTGATATCGTTTCGATATCATTATAATATCGTTTGGTTTATTGGGAATGTTGATATAATTGTAAACAAAACAGTGTATAAAAGTGAGTAAATCGTTGTACTAAATTTTGTGATTTCTACTAATTATATAATTTATTTGTTAAAATTGTTATGGGTTTTACAAACATACCAAAAATCGATTTAAACCACCATCCTACCAAACGAAAAAAATCCTACCAAATTTGGTAGGAAAAGACCAAACGGCAACGCTGAATGTATTTCCATAACATAGGGATAGTTATACAAAAACCAAGACTTCAATTTATAAATGTTTTTTACTTGCAAATAGGAGTCCGTTCTCGCAAAGTTTTCTAAGTTCTTGACTTCTTAGGCTACACCAATATTAAGTTCTAAACCAGAGATTAAAAGAACTATTAAAAATAAAGTTGTATAAAACATATTTTTAATAGAAAACTATTAAAATATCTTCAAAATTT